GCAATATGCTGCTGCTGCTGATATGCATGTACATATACATGTAACTTCCATTATTATGATTAATAGGATGAAGATCAAGCAGATACTGCATTATTACCATCACTAACTAATGCAGGACAAGTAAAGGTACTGTACATGTACTAGAGAAGTGTCAATTCAAAGTATACTTTATGCACATGCACATTGTAGGTTATGAATGTGCCATTGTACATGTCAACTCACACTAGCAGACAGTCACAGGCTATGGAGGCACGAGCACTTCACTTACAAACATTACAAGCCTTTCAGGATAGAAGGTGAGAGAGAGAGAGAGTAAGGAAGAGAGAGGTAGGGATTAACTGTGTGTTGCTTTAGGAAAGGAAGGAGATAGTACTTATTTTATAATAATATAATCAAGAAACATTTTTATTGTTTATTGTGTTCTTTATATTTGTCACAATTATTATTATTATTATTATTATTATTATAAAAATACACTATTGCTACGTTAGTGTTAATGTTATTGCTAGTGGCTCTAATGATAATAACAGTCATACATAAGGCATGGATACCTACAGTGGTATACCTCTATATATGAAATACCTATAGTAATAATAGTGCTATTATTAGCCAACAATTTGCTGAGTGGACATAGAACATGTACTGTACGTACACTTCAGAATATGCCTGCTCTCTTCTGTATTTCTCTTTTACTGCTTGGCAGTTTAAGTTTCTTTGAGTGTGTCTCTTCTCAAAGTGTTGCTCCTGATGATGCTGACCCTCATTGTTTGAATATACCAATAAGAAATGTCACTTTTCCTAATGAAAGGATCCTACTGGACTCACAGAACTACAGGTCAGCTTTTCTTGTTGGACTAGAAGGAGAGAATAGGACATGGCTGACTATTGATTATGATGGAGGGGGAGTGGGTCGACCTGGTGCTGCTAGTTTTGTTGATTCCGTAAGATATATTCCTTGTTATTATTATCTTGTTATATCTCATGTAGTGGTATGATGCTAATCAAGGAGTGCAGTGCTTACATCGAATCAATGTTTGTGCTACTCTCATTCCTGGAGGAACATCTTCATTCCAAAGCAACTGGTTGATAACACAATACATTAATATTAGTGAACCTGGAATAAGTCAATTAAGAATCAATTTAACATTCTCATCAAATTTGGTGTGCTCAAGCCAGCAGTGTGCCCAGCAGCAGACATTTGAAGTGCAGACATTTGAAACAAATGAACCAGATGAAATGGATAGAGGAAATATCAGTTATTATTCATATGCTGGTGTTCGTCTGATACACACTGCTGTTGAAGGAGCTACAACAGACTCTGAGTCATTTGCTGTGTCTAGTTCTGGCCTGTATCTGGCTATATGGGACCAAGGATCTTGTACTGTCATTAAT